AGAATGTCTAGGTGGAAGGATAGATTTCTAACTATGGCTGGGTGTACAACTCTAATCAAAGTGGTCTCATCAGCTCTCCCCACCTATCAAATGCAAACTATAATCTTATTGAAAAGAATTCTTAATGATTTAGAGAAAAAGAGAGTCCATTTTCTGTAGGGTGAGAATGAGGAAAATTAAAAAATTCACCTGTCTCTTGGGATATGATCACTCGAGATAAAAAAAAGAAGGTGGTTTAGGAATCAAGGACTTACAAAGACAAAATGAAGCATTTGTGATGAGACTTTGTTGAAACCTTGGTTTTTAATGAAGATGCTTTTTGGGTACAAGTCTTAAAGTCAAAAATGCAAATGTGACAATAGCAGTATGCCCTTTGTAACAAAACGACATAACTCTTCATTCAATTGAAAAGGAATTTGTTGTGTCTGGTGTAAAATCTCACTCTACTAACCATAATTAATCAAACAAACTCATAGTAATCAAAAGATTAACCCTTTAAAAAGATTACCAAGTTTTTGATTGTCAAAATGAGAGATCCTAAGTTTTCTTAATCAAAATAAGTTTAAAGCAGTCATAATATCTTATATCATAATAAAAACAAATGGAAGCATTTAATACCTTAGAAGAGTGAAAAAGAATGAAAACAAGTGAAGAATAACTTATTTGCTGTGAGACAAGGCAATGTGCCACGGCTTGTGCACGCTACATTACGGCATGTTGCTGTCCGTGCTACACACTGCGGCTCAAGCGCCATGCGCCGTGGCATGTTGCTCATAAATGACGTCAGAATTTGGGAACTTCTAACACGTCCCGATTCTCTATTCGACATCCGAATGACATGATATAGGTGTCTACAAAAAATTCTTTTTATAATCTAGCTAATAGCATAGGTTTCACTTTCAAAACAAGTCAGACTAGAAAGTTGGATACTTAAACATAATTTTACCACTTTTCACAAATAAAGAGTGTCCAAAACCCACAATAAGTGTCAAAAGCTATTCCTAACACCCAGACTATACTCATTTGACCTAGGATTATCATTACAACATGTCACATGCACTTAAATATCAATCCAACACAAAATCATTCCTCAACCCCTTTTTCACCAAAAACAAAAGGGGGAGGTATTTTCATTGCATTTACTCATAAATCAATTATGACATGTTTAAAACACAATTTTGACACTTGCACTAGTATTTTGACCCTATCATATATATATATATATATATATCTCCATATAGAATTAGTTAGGGCTCAAAATACAATTCAGACATTTGTAATAACAAAATAGTACAAGTGCATGATATGCAACCTAGAATTGGCAATCATATTATATTACACAAACTAAATATAAACTAGAGGCATACAGTGTGAATGAACTAATTTTTAGCCTCTTAAGCCTTCTCTCTCTCTATACCAGAGCTAAAACCTGTAAAGTATTAAATGAAAGGAATGAGTCTAGCTATTCAATAACCAAGGTAAAACTTACCCTGTGCAGTTATATATTAATTGTAAATCAAACACATGCATATGAAACCAAGTACTTTAAACATACTTTAACATATATTATAACTTATTAATTCAGTTAACACGTTTTTATCTTACAAATGCTAGGTATATAATCACAAGACACTCAGACATGTGATTATGACCCGTCACAACACGCGACTTGCCACAACTCAAAACATGTGACAATTAACTTCATCCCTCTTTATTTCCTCTTATTGAAACCCTGGGCTATAACACTGAATATAGCTCCGTTCGTATGATTGAACTACTCAAGTTCACTAATCGTGACGTGTGACCCAGCTAAAGATCACATGACTCACTCTCGAACCACGACTTCTCCTACTCTCGAATTTCTGGGGTGTCATATACCCTAAGCTATTTTTCTCGTTGAACTAGTAGAGAAAGTTAGATTCTAATCCCTCGACAAACTATGGGACTATCCTTTGACAAATTGTAGGACAAGGCTATACCCCCATGCTCTAAAGGGTAACCTAAATACTATATGAATTTTTCTCTACTCTCAATCCTTAGGTGAACTTTCGCCCACTGATAATGCTATGTATAATGCTCACTCATTTTCACATTATCATTTATTAATTATCACAATCAACATGTTGGGCTCACAACCGTGCGCTACTTAATTGAACATCTAATAAAATTTCATAACATTATTTTCACTTATTACAATAACCCATTTCTTCATTAACACACATTTAGCTCAACACAATATCACATTCACTTTTCCAAAAACATATACATATTCATAGTTCAAAAACTATTTTGATTTTTCATTTTACATTTCAAGCCAAATATGACGTTATGCATAATCATACTTTCAAACATTGAAAATCAATCCATGCATGTAACATTCACAACTTTACAATAACAATCAATTAACAGATAACTATTCAAAGTAAAATTTCCCTAATTATCTCAAATTTTTGAAAAGTCAAAGATTTGCCCCTTAATGTTATAACTTTCAAGCTTAAATTCCTAAGCCAAATTGGTGATCAAGAGCTTAATTTACAATCCACAAATTGTTAGATTCATCAATATGGTTAAACACACATTTTTCCACTCTTTTATCCCCTTTCTAGACTTTCTCAATGCCCACATTATATATATTTGAGTCTATCCATTAAGTTTATTAACTATCTTTAGTCCCCAATAACATTAATAAGCCATTAAACTACCATTAATGGCATCACACTCTTCCAATAACCCACATCAATGCCAAAATTCAATATATCTAGGTTTAAATACTCTAAACAACTCTCATTAACTCCATTTAAGTTAATAGGTTTGAACCCATAACTTATATGGATCAAAATCATCATCATCATCATTCAAACCCTAACTCAAATCCTTGAGAAAGTGGAAGAGAAAGGGAGAAAAAGGGTTTAGAAATTTTACTTTAGATGATTTGAAGCTTCAAACCTTATCAAATCCTCCCTTAGATTATGCTCTAGCAAAGCAAATACGAGTTCATCTATTTCCCTTTTCTTTCCCTTCTATTTTTTACATCAATTCGCGACTTATTTTTGTAAGATTCGCACTGCAACATATGGCACAAAGGTTTTTTAACTCTTTTTTTCAACCTTTTAGTTCCCAAGTGACTCGATTTCACTTTGAACCTAAATTATACTTGAAATTCTACTTATTATTCTCCTCTGACCACACCACGTCACTTACTTAATTATCATAATTAAGCTTAGTAAATCAAGGAATTAAAAATCAAGATGTTATGTCTGGGATAAATTTAAAGAAGGAATAAGGAAGAAAGTTGGGAATGGAAACTCTATGAGCTTTTGGTTTGGCAATTGGTTGATGGTGAATGTTTCCCTTATTGAATTGGTTACTGGGAGTGAAGGTCTTGTGGATAAGAATGAGTTTTTTAAATTATATATATCACAATGGTAATTAGGATATCCAAAAGTTTCACTCATGGTTCTAGCCAAATACAGTTACCTACTGGACTCGTGCCTACCCGCCTAGTGAGGAGAGAGGAGAGGATAAACACTTCTAAAAACTGTCTAGTAATGGTTTTTTACCATTAAATCTACTTATTTTTTTTTCTATTTGCAAGTATAAGAAGGGATACAAATAGTATATGGAAGATGATTTGGAGATGGCCAGTAACAGAGAAAATCAAGTCCTTTATGTGGCTGTTTGCTCATGGAAGAACCCACACGTATGAATTGAGGCAGAGGAGAGGTCTTGCAACCAAAGGGAATTGCCTTTTTAGGTATAAGGTAGTTGAAGATTTGATGCATCTTATCCAGGACTGTCTAAATGCCCCAAAAAGATGGAAATTAGTGGTCAAATAGGAGAACTAGAATCCCTTTACTACCTTGAATAGGGTGGAATGGCTAAAATGGAACTTTAATCATGAAGTAGGTGCAACTTTTACTAACAAAGTATATTGGGCATCCCTCTTTAGTTACATTTGTTAGGATATTTGGGCTGATAAATGTAAAATAGTGTTTGATACAACAAATGTAATTGAATACCAATCTGTGAGCTCTAGTTTCTTTAGAACTCATGCAGATCTAGATCTATATGAGCTTGCACCTTCATTGATTTAGGAGAGACAATGCACTAAAGGCAAAACTACAAGTAGAAGTGCTGCTGCCAAACTCGAAGTGGACGAGTTGATGCTATCTTATGGTAGTAATGGATGTAGTGGAAACATTTAAGACCCTCAAGCTAATTAGGTCAAAAGATTTAGCTACAAACTTACTATTGTTCTACTCGTCAATGCAGAATTACTTGCTATCATTCATGTTTTGCTTATTTGTTGGGATATCAATTTGTGCAATGTTGATATTTTCTACGATTGTACAGATGCTATTAGTCTAATTACTAAAGGTTGTAAGGCATCACACCATTTTTTAGATGTAATTAAAAATGTTTGTTTTTTATTTCATAGGGATTGGAGTCTATTTATCTCTAATACCTATGCTAATTTTCTTACTAAGCCTGCTTATAGGTTATATGTTAGTTTTCATACCTTTGATCATCCCTCACTTTTATTTTAAGAGATAGTGGACGATGAGAGTGTTCTTGGAGGATAACTTATCTTAATGTAATCTCTTTTGATTTTTAATACATGCCTTTCAGTAAAAAAAAAAAGTATTAACCAAAATGAAGTATTAACTTGAGAGAATAACAAATGAATTCTTTCAAAATAAAAAAATAATAATTTAGTTCTGCACACTAAATATAATAATACCTTTTAAATCTTAAGAGATTTAATTATCATTAAAATTTTTAATAAAATGATAAAAATATGTCTCAATTTTAAAAGGTACAATAATTTTTTTTATTCATAATTTTTGGTTCTGAAATTCACAATTCAAATTTAATAAATAACTAAAATGATTAGGGATTGATAACTTTTCTAAATCTTTCTTTTTTCCTTTCAAAGTTTATTAATATTTTTGTTAAAGGATAATATAATAATTTCCTTAATTCTTGGTGCTTATCATTTTTATCGCGGGGGACGCGGTGCTGGTGCAGGGGACTACTGCATAGCTTCGGCCATGGCTTCCAGCGCTGCATCAACATCTTCGGTGTCGGAAGAGGAGCTCACTCTGACAGTGAAGTGGAGCGGTAAGGAGTACACCGTCCGAGTCTGCGGCGACGATACTGTCGGTGAATTGAAGCGCCGAATCTGTGAGCTCACGAATGTGTTCCCCAATCGCCAGAAGCTTCTGTACCCTAAAGTCGGTTCCAAACTTGCCGACGATTCTCTCTTGCTCTCGCAGCTTCCCCTTAAGTCTTCGCTTAAGATGACCATGATCGGGTATTCCATTTTTTCCCTTAATGTTTATGATTGTAGAAGTTCTCAATTATTGAGTGTAGTGTTGCTCAAAAAATGGGCAATAGCATGATAGGTTTCTGGGTATTTGATTTTATGGCCGAAGTTGAAAGGGTAAACGAATGATTGCAGTCTTGTTATGTAGCATGTTCTGAAATTCAAAGATTTTAAGTTGAAAGGGTAAACGAATGATTGCAGTCTTGTTATGTAGCATGTTCTGAAATTCAAAGACTTTGTTCAACTAGTGGAGAACACCAATATCCTTTTGGAACACATTTTCTTTGCTTATAAACATTTTGGGATAAAATGGTTGAACTTGCAGTACTACTGAAGAAGATATAATTGTTGATCCAGTGGAATCGCCTGAGATTGTCGACGATTTTGAGCTTGGTCAAGAAGAAGCTGTAGATATCAAAGACATGGAAGTGAACAAGCAAAAATTGAAGAGACGTGTAAACCAATACAAGGTGATTCCCTAATGGATCGGTCTTTTTTATAGGCATAAGGTACATGCGGTTTAATTTTTGTTTAGTTTGCTGGGTCCTTGTTTGTATTTTGTTTTGCATTTTTTTAGCTGGCCTTTCCACTTGGAAGGAGGTTCATTGTGTAAGAACTATGTTAACTTTCTACTATATAATTAACTTGGTTCACATCAAAATTCAAAACATTGTCACCATGGCACTGGCATTGAGAGATTTTTCATGTTTTTCTGCGCAAAACTTGTCGCGTATTATGATATTATAATTTTGCTATGATTGTATTGTGATATTATAATTTTCCTATGAGTACAATCATAACATTATGCTGAAAAGATGATGAGGCTGGTTTATTTAGGAACGACTGCTTCTGGCAGTTATGTATTCTGCTAAAACGTGAGGCAGTGTCTTCTTTGGTTTAAAGCATGGAGGTGTTTTTCTTCTAAATATCAGTGATTAGTTATAAAAATATAAGAAGTAAATTGTTGGAAAATTCTATCAAGATCTCAATTTATTTAGCTCCATCAATCATCTCTTAAGCACAATCATTTCTTCATTATAGATATGCCAAAAGGATCTTAAACAATTAGATGTTGATACATAGATGCCTCCTATACTTTATATCATCTTATACTGATAAGGGGGGTTGCATCAGCCCTCTATATTTCTCTGACATACATGTATAGATTTATACTTAAGGGAAAATGCATATATACCTCATTACCTCCTATACTTTGGCACCCATTCAAAAATATTCAGCATGTACTTCAAATTCCAGATAATAGGCTCCCTTACTTTGGCAACATGGAAGCGAACCCTTCCATCCACCTTTCATTAGATATTCAATGGAAAATTGTGGAAGAAGGGTTTCTGGGTTTGAAATTGCAATTGGGATATTTGGGGTTTGAAATTGAAATATGGAACAATGTCTGAAGTTTTAACTATCTTGGTCAGAATAGCGGTTGTCTAGCTTTAAAGTCATGACCAAAAGTTGGGCCAGAATGGTGTTTGTATTTGCAATTGTGAATGGAATAGTTAGAGTTTGAAGCAAATTCCAATCATGGCTGTCTTTGTCAAAATCATATGTTTGGGTTAAAGATTCACAAACTGAAATTTGTGAGAGTAAGGGCAAGTGTCTGCTCCCACCTTTCTTGTAAAATTTATTTTCCAGGCTTTAAAATAAATGGTGGCTATTTGCATATGGGTCAAAGTCCAAGGGTTTTGGGGCCATGTTTTCTGATATGTTTAACTCTCTGCTTTAATGCTTGAACATACATTTTTTAAGATAAGAGAGCTGGCTGTTGATAATAGAGGTACTAATAAATATTTTCTATCTTTATTTTTGTGTGAGAGTAAGGGAATATGTCCCCTACATCATACCAGACAGGGCATATAAGGGTCTATGCCTCTTCTCACTTCATTTATACTTGAAATGAGCAGCTTAGTTTTAAGACAAATATATTTCAGAAAGAAGGGGTTGGGAATATAGATACTGATATCTATCAATCAATGTTTGACGCCATCATTCTATCATGACAGTTGATTAGGCAGTATGCTTTGCTTGCTTATCAAGCAGCTTGTGCCTGCTTATGTTGCATAATTGTCAAACAAGTTTGTATGCTGATGCAATTCTTCCTCAGTAATTTTCCTTTGCATGCCATCTATGGTGTTCTTTCTCATGGCTTGTCTTCTTTTACAGTTTGAGCTCCGAAATCCATGTCGAAAAGGGAAGAAACTCCTTGTTCTGGATATTGATTATACCCTATTCGATCATCGGTCAACAGCAGAGAACCCTCTTGAACTTATGAGACCTCGTAAGTGGTTGATTTCTGGCAAGTTTTTGCTTGCTTTCATTTTTTTTTCTTAACATTGTTTTCCTGAAATGGCTCTTCCTGGTGTCATCATCTGCAGATCTTCATGAGTTTCTTACATCAGTTTATTCAGAATATGACATTATGATATGGTCTGCAACCAGGTATAAGTAACTTTATCATTTCTTTTAAATTTCCTTTGGGAGAATAACTTTGTAAGATGCCTATTGATGATACTGAATCGTAAATGCACGCAAAAACCAACATAGGATGGATATTTAAATATGTCATTTTTATTATATTTTATTTACTTATTTATTTGTCTTGGTGTACTTCTTGCAGCATGAAGTGGATTAACCTGAAAATGGGACAACTTGGGGTTCTGGACAATCCTAATTATAAAATCACTGCACTTCTTGACCACTTGGCAATGATCACTGTCCAATCAACTTCTCGTGGGGTCTTTGATTGCAAACCTCTTGGTTTGATCTGGGCTCATTTCCCTGAGGTATAATTATGACCTATGTTCTTTCTTGATGGAAACAGAAGCATGTTATCTTCATAAAGTAGCTGTAAACCTGTCTTAAACATGCCCATCTCCAGCCAAAGACTTTGAAAGAGACCTTAATAAACTACAGCTGCACTGTCATCTTCCTGAAAACCTGAAAATCTATATTTCATGCTTTTGAGGATCACCCTGAGTCAGAAAACATCCTTTGAGGATGAGATCATCATGTAGGATATCTGAACAGACAAAAAAAAAAAAAAAATTTACATCTCATTTCTTCACTTGTATTATGTGAAGTTTAGCAATGGCCAACAATGATTTAAATTGCTTGATGGTGATTTCCTATTTCATTTCAGTTCTACAATGCTACAAATACCATCATGCTTGACGATCTTCGAAGAAATTTTGTGATGAACCCACAAAATGGTTTGACAATCAGGCCATTCAGGAAGGCTCATGCTAATAGAGATAGTGATCAGGAGCTTTTGAAGCTTACCCAATACTTGATGGCCATTGCAGAACTTGATGACTTGAGCCATCTTGATCATAATAATTGGGAATTTTTCAGCGAAGACAGCACTAAAAGACGTAGGCACACATGAGGCAGTGCGCAATTTGTTTTTATTTTATTTTTTTGGGAACGAATATAGGTTGATCCGGCATGACCAACCACAGTTCTGTAGGAGAATCTCTTCAGCAAGAGGAATTTAATTTTTCTATTGCAAGTAACTACAAAGAAAAAGGACAAATGAGTGAAAGGAAAGGAGCTCTTGTGGCTTTCAGTTGACTTACTCTGCTAATAGAACTTCATTATAGAAGTTTCTGGAACAAAATTTGGTACTTTATCTGATTCTATTTACAAGACTTACCCTCGCACAGTCACTTGATACAAGACCTTTTCCAAAAAATTAATATAATGTTCATAATTTATTTTCAAAAATGTCTTTTCTTTATCACTCTTATCATCTAATTCATTATTCACCTTAATTTGATCGAGAGTATTTTGAAAAATTATAAATTGTTACCTTTAGCTAGTTTTAACTAGGTTTATTAATCTTATGTAAAATGGTAAATAGGTTTCTATAATAATGACTGAATGAAGAATAATGCTTGAACGTGTGATATTTCTGCATAATTATGAGCACCGATTTAGTGGAAGTAGTCACTTGAAGCGGCTCTATATCATTAAATGATAGTGGATAATAAGATTACTTGATAAATTTGGATACCTGACAAGGAAAAAAAATAATGTTTGTCATTTTGGTACGACATGTAGTTTAAGGTAACAAACATGAATGATTGTCCAAGTGCAGCCGGTTATTGCCATCAAGCATCCTGAAGAAGGTTGACTTCTTTTAGGTTAAAAAAAAAAAAAACCTCGGTTACTTTTAATGAATATCCACAGCCTTTTATTTTTTTTTTTTTAAGGAAAAACAAGTCAATTTTATCAATATTAAGAAAAATCAATTACACTGACTAATATCAGAAAGTGAACAAATCAAAGTATAAACCTATAATACAACTTATCAAAAAAACACAAAAAGCATCAAAACAAACGCAATCTAATACCTATAATAATTGACCTGCATGGCACTTTTTTGACTATCAAACAACTATTCTCATGGAATCTCCCTTGGTATTTAGCTATCATGGGCTATGATATTAGTAATGAACCTACGAGTCTGGGTTGATCCTTGTCTCTTTCTTTATTTTAGCCTTTTTGCCTCCAATTATATATAAAAAAAAAACGTAATTTATCATTGCAACTTGACCTGCAAGACTCAACCTATACCCTTCTTCTTGGCATCAACGTTTCTGCCACTCAGGTCCTTGGACAAGATAGAGACCGGAGAGGATGGTGGCCTACGCAGCCATTATTTCAATACCATACCTCTCATTATCATAACTGTTATACAATCAGCACCATTATTGCCTTTGCGAGATACCAAACACAACCACCAACTTCCATCAGACCTCGACCTCTTCAACATTTATTCCCATTCACAACCTTTAGCATCCAACGGCCTGTGAATATCCATAGCTATTAGCTGACGTTTCATGAAGAAAATTAATTCCCGTGAAAAACAAATGTAACGATTTTTCATCAATCAAATCTAAGCTTTTCAGTTTTTCAAAGGGCTTGGATTGATTTGATGATCATTATCGTTTAAAGGACTAATTTCTGAAATAAACACTTTCGGAATCCAAAATGATAACTCTTTCAGAAGTAGATGGAGAACTTAAATTCAACCATACCGCCCCAGAGAAAGATCACGTTCTAGAACATATCTTTACAAATATTTAGGCATGGCTAGTGTCTAGCGTGTAGAATTTTGGAATTTGTAAAATTGCTATCCATCAATATAATAATAAAATCATTTCTTAGACCCCACCTTCATAGAATATGTAAAATAATACTTCCAATATATAAGAATTTATAGCAAATGTTGTCAATTATACCCACTTATTTTCTGAGTCAGTCGAAGCCAATGATAAATACATACATATATAAATATATATGGCTTTGAATTATATAATGGCTCATTGAGAAGTTTTATTTCTCATCATATTTTTGGTAAGTTCTTATCTTGATTTTATATAATCCCACTTATGTAAGTCTCAGAATTAGGAGAAAAATTTATTTTCAAAAACTTTCCACGTAAATTAGCATGAAACTATGCATCCACCGAAGCTCATATCCACATGTGGGCGAGGAAATAAAAATTATAGGTAGGTACAGTAAATCATATCAACACTACGAAACAAGATGTTCAGAGAAAACATGAACCTCCTCAAATCATTTTAACAACACTAGCTTAATATTAATCCATACAAATAATGCACATCCATACAGCCCTAAAGATCTTCGCTGCTTATATTAGGCTGAGTGAGTTTCTACAATACAACCATTAAAAAATGAAAATCACAACAGAAATGGAGAATACACTTCATGAATAACATACACTGGGGATGTTGAATTACCACCTCCGGCAAGTCATCTCTGATCAGAAAACCCAGATCAAAATATCGTAAGATTTCAGCTGTGACTACCAGGTGCCCATTAAGATTAATTTAAACAAGCTAACGCGGAAGACCAGGAAAAGCCTGAAATATGCAAAGCGGGCAGAGAGAAGATGCCTACACTGGAAATCTCTGCACAATCCCGCACAACGGGAAGATTTGACCGTCGCATGGCCGCAGCAACATCTGTTGAATGTAGAGGCAAAACACTGACACAAATAGAGCGCAGATTTAAGTACGAACGGGACCAGTCATTGGGTCACGCCCTGAACTGCCTTCTTTATGTTTTAAGGAAAGGTTTGAGAATTGGGAATCGAGGTCTTTGCTCTTGGTGCGTCGGAGGCTACCAGATGGTGGTTGTTGCGGTTGCTGCTGTGGCTGCTGATACAATGCACGTAACCTTGCAATCTCTCTTTCTAGTACTTCCTGCTCCACTGAATTGCACATTGCTTGTATTAGTCAACAAAACAAATTTCTTTGGAGTGATGCAAAGTTACTAAAAGCTTTGATAAGTGATATCATGAAGAGTTTAAGAGTGTTCGAGAATATGAGATAAAAGATTCTATATTTTCTTAATTCATGGAAAGTGAACACAAAACCATATAGAGAGAGAGGAGGAATATACTGCAACAAGAGTAAATGCTGCTAGAGTAAATACATGCACCTACCACAACTATTTTAAAAATTAATACATCAACTACTAACATTTTGACAGAATTCAACATACACATTTTCAGCGCAAACTAGACTGTGGGGCCTACTTTACATGGAATTTAAGGCGAGTCACATTATTTGTGGCTTGTAAATAGCGTGGTTTTCTATAGAATTTTATATTGTGTAAAGATATTATACTTAGATGTATATCATACTTTAGGGTGCCTGCCGGGCCTACATGTTGTGACGAGTCACCCTAGAATGGAGCAAGTTCTAGTGTTATAATTTTGCCCTGCCCTAATTTTTTTGAGTCCTTAGGATCAAACCTTCCTGTACTCAATCTCATTCAAGGGAAACTTCTTGCAGACAGTCGAGCTCATGTTTATAGAAAATTAACCTTTTCTTTATTTATGAATATTATCTAAACATCAAACTTGCATGAACAAATAAAGCATGTTTCATCTTTCACGGCTAATACATGAAATAGAATGCATCAAGACATCATATCCAGAACAAGTATGGGGAGTTACTATTTGCCAGCTCCCCTAAAGCACAGTATCAAGGATGTTAATTTAAAAACATACAAAAATATATCCTACTTACTAGAGCACAATTCTCAAGGATAAAGACTTACGGCGTTTGATGAGATGCTCCTGTGCTAAGCTTTCTAGACGCTGCTTAAGGGCTTTGTTTTCCATGCTCAGGATAAGATGCTGTTGATTAAGAAATTCAACCTCAGCTGATACTTCAGACCCTTCTGCCTATTAATTAATAAAGAATCAAATCAGAACTTTCCAACATAGAACATACAGGAATTTGAATAAATATGACTTTAAAATCATTCAGAACTATGTATCTTATAGAACTTACCTGTAAAGCTTGTACGTTTCTTTCCAGCTCAGCTATGTATTGTAGTTTACGGACCCGTGAACGTTGAGCAAATTGCCTGCATATAAACATTTCACATTTTATTTTTTTCACCTCATCATCAGTTCACAGTTGACACAGAAGTAAGCTGAGAACACAGTAAAGGCAAACAGCTACCAAACAAGGCATAAGAAACACAGTATAACTAATAATGGCACAACACCCCCTTTCCCAGAAACAGCTGCCCAACACTTTCTCTTAACATCTGCCGGGCCTCAAATAATGCCAGAGTTCACTCCAATTCTTCAAATCCAAACTAAAAGGCATGCCTTTTCTGCTACAAAGTAAACTATCAAAACATTTACATCATTGGCATCCATTGAAATCTGTAATTTTTCACAAAAATAAGCTACATTTGATAATTTAGCTCTTCTTCAAGAACCCTCCTGGGACAAATTTTAAGAAAGGTTGAGGATAACTTGACACAACATAACAGGTTCGCTACAGGAAAGCATTCTGCACAGAAAAGTTGGAAAGGAAACTGCAGGAAGGAGCAGATAAAGCCATACAACAGAACTTACAGCTTGCAAGTCTTATATTGGTGAGATATAATTGAGCATATTAGTGCAATAACCACAAATTCAGAAAGCTTAAACAATAAGTACATACTGTTTAGCTCGTTTAGTATCTGTCTCAGAAGCTTGTGCCTTCACATGCGAACCATCCTTTTTTTCAGAAGATACTTTTGTATCATGTGAGCTAGATTCTGCTGAATCCAGTTTTTCATTAGCATTTGACAGAACACCATCTGCTTCACATGGTGTGCTAGGTGATCCTGAACTCTGAAATGCACCATTATCTCTGCCAGAGGGAACACCAATTTGATGCGAGACAGCATTTAAAGAAGAGTCCCATGCTCTATTTTTCTTTTTGGTTGATTTGATCTCTCCATACATTGGTAAATGATGAGCATCTTTTCCATAATCAAAGTCCTGAGATGCCCAAGATGGAATAGATTTTAAATTCTTAAAATTGCACTCATCCTGATCTGTATAGCTAATGTTAGAAGAAACATTAACTGTATCTAAGTAAGCAAAAGAATCACTTGATGAACGCCGATGACCGCCCTTACGAATAGGTGTATCTGGCTCATTAAGAAGATCATCAAGCCAAGAAGGTTGTTCCTCTATGACAAGGCTCTCAGATGAAGTCCGTTGGTGGTGTGCGTTTCCCACTCTAGGTTTCTGAACAACCTTGGAACCAATTGCAGTATTTGGGACATAATCAGCATATGCTCCAGAAATACTAGGAAATGGACTTTTAGGAGGAAGGAGAGCATGCTTTCCGGAATACATAAAATTTCTCATGCCTGATGAAGCCTTTGAATTAGCCATAGAATACCTGTCAAATAAGTAAGAATGAAACATCAGAGGCAGTTATATGATGCATCTTCTCAATAAAACAGTTCAAATTAGGATCTTCTGGAAATACTAAACATAATCAATGATTTAAAACACATGATGATTCCAAGTACTGTGTTTTTATTTCTCCATGGTGCTTGCCTGTCAAGAAAAATAAGTAAATAAATAAAACAACATAAATGTGTCCATGGGCATCCCACTCATGTACACAGTACATATATTTGAAAAAATAGTAATCAGGAACACCATGTGAAATCAATAAAGCATTACAAAAATAGCATTCAGTAGCCTCAAGTCTTTATAAAAAATTATAGCAATAAATGATTAGAGACAAATTGCCCATGGCACCAAGTATAAGCAGCTAATCTGCTAAGAGCTACGTAGCGCACGATTCCATAAAGCATATGCTTCATTCAGAAAAATCAGCATGAAGCTTGCAGCTTTATGGAGAGCCTTAAACATTTTCTTGTCATGAAAATTCTCGAAATTTCTCTGGACATCTCATAATAATCAAAAGGTCTAGATTAAGCCACTGCTATCACGCTGAACACACTCACTCACTTCATTGGTGGCACATTTGACATGAAAATCCCAAGTCAACAATAATTCCCACTAAATCTTGAAAGGCAACTATATGAATTGTTCACTACCAATGTAACAGAAAACTCAAGAAGAACCAAATAAATCCCCAGACTTTCATGGTGAAGCAAAATCATAACTCTAAGCAACGATAAGTAGCAACTGAGAAGAAACTTACAACCCACAGCTCAGTTTCCAGGTCTAGAAAAATTTATGAGGAAGAAGTAAATTTGCTCTCAGATACCAAAGATTCTTTCTTTTTTTAACTCAAGGTCCCAGATCAGGAAAAATTAAACATCGAAGCTTCATTTTGCTGCCTTTTCCTAAGGCACCTATCTAGAGCATGAATTTGCAGAAACGACAAGAGCGTGCATTCAGAAGACGAGAAGAAATTCCGAAATATGGAAATTACTGTTTGCAGAGAAGATACGCTACAATGTATGAGGCTGAGGCACCACCCAACAAAAAAATTTTACAAGGTTAAAGAATTGAGCACGAAAACAGGAAACTGACTGTCCTGCAACCATCGGAAGTCAGTTTCGTAATTGATAATCCAACGAAAGAAAGAGACCCACCTTTTGCAGGTTGAAGATTCCAGATCGCTAAATGCAATGCGAAAAAGGCTTCAGACCAAAGCAACCTTTCTCTCTCTTAGGGTTCGCTTGCCCCCGTGTGGTTTTAAGCCAAGCTCTCTCTTTCTCTCTCCGCCCCAGTACTAGTAGCACTCTTCTCTCTCTCTCTTCTCGTTGAAGCTGCCTGAGGTGAGGTGAGGCGAGGTGAGGTGAGGCTTAGGCTGAATAGGAAACCCAAGATAAGAAGTATTGCTCCCAAGTCCTCAAACTTTTACTATTTTCACAGGAAACTATGAAAGGAAATTTTCTATAACTGTTCAACTTTGTATTAATATTAAACTTTGTATTTATATTAATAATAATATGATAATAAATAATGCTGATAAAAATAGTTACATTTTTATTTATTCGGTAGTAATTTTTTTAATTAACCAACAATTTTAAGATAGTATAATTGTTAGATCCATTTAATATTTGATACAATCAATTAATTCTAAGTTGAGATTAACTCGAGTCCAAAATTTTTATTATCATTCAACCCCCCTACAATTATTATTAATAAATTTTTTTAAATTTTATAAATTTACCGTGATATTTTTTCCATTGATTTATATTTGATGCAAAATTTTATTTTTGAAATTCTAAGAAATACTAGAGTACAATATCAATAAGGGTTACAGGATTAAAATCTTCTGAAATTAAAATGGGTGAATTTATGTAAAATGTTGCTATTTAAGAAAGAGGGTGAATATTTCATACTTTATAAAAAATAATAAAATGTGTGAAAATATTAAAAAAATTCATATAAATTCACCAATCTTAACTTTCAAAAATTCAAATCTAAAATTAAGTCTAATGAAAAGAATTAATTCATTATAATATGATAAATTAATATTCAAATTCTCAATCAAAAAAGTGTATGATTTATGTTTAGTGCCCAACCAACCTGGTTGGGTTTTCAATAAGTGAGTTTTAGAATTATTTTTGGTTTAGTAATCTCATATATCTCCTATTCCTAACAAATGTGACTTCATTGCAGAAATTTGTACTTTTCTTTAAAATAAGCCCAACTTCTTTAGTCTTTAAAAAAAAAAAAAGAAAAGAAAAAAGTCAAGCTTAACTATGAAGCTAATGACCGAATATGAAAGAAAATTATATGTGCATTGCATGCTTTTAGTTAAAATATTGTATGAATATCATTAATTTTATATATTAAGTAAAAAGATAAGTGGTAATATTCATAAATGATATTAGTTGCTCTAAATTTTACTTAAGAATAAAATTAAAAGACTAAAAGATTGAATTAAACTTAAATAAAGATAAAAAGTTTTTGAAATTCGAAATAGAAATAGGTCCTCTAATAAATTGGTCTAAAAATTTACTTGAAAATCGTTTTCCTTTACAAACTAAGAAAATTTATTTACAAATTGGTGTTTTGAAAGTTATGATAAAAGAATGAGAGCTGCAAATTACTGAAAATGATGATACATTTGAGGGTTAACAATTTTTTTTTATATCAATTAACGAATTTCACTAGTAAATTTGTGTTTTAATGGTTGCAAATTATGAAATGAGAGTAACAAATTTTTAGATCAATTTACTGAAAAAATATTTAGTCTTTATTATAGATTTCAAAATATTTTGGTTTCTAGTTAAATTCAATTCAATATTTTAATCCTTAAATCTCATTTCACCATAGTTTATTACTTTTATATATTATACTACGTGATATTAGAATAATGAGTTACAATGAAGTGTAAAATAATCTGACCCTTTGACATGAAATAAACTTTATATGTATACATATTAATTGCGTATATTAAAAGTGAAATATATTTTGAACAAAAAAATATTGTCATTACCAATATTTTTTAATTGAGTCGCCTTAGGTATGATTCATATTTTTTGAAAGAATTTTGCAACTTTTAAATGTGAATCTTATTAACATTTAATAAAAATATAATTTTGAATCTCTACACTTTGCTCTCATTTTACTATAGATCTTATATTTTTTAAATATTTTATATTCTTACACTTTTATTTTTTGATGTTTTAAATTCTTTCAAAGTCCTTACACTTTATTCATGAAAAGATCTAGAACACCCAAAAATAAAAGTGTATGAATCTAAAATACTAAAAAAAATATATAAGAACCTCCAGTAAAATGTAAGTAAAGTGTAGAAATCTAAAATCATGTTTTTTCAAATATTTTTTATAGAGACAAATATGGACCATGGATTAATGAAAATGAAATTTTGATCAGATATGGATTATGGAAACGCCGGTATCCCAGTTGACGTGGCTTATAATTTTTGCACTAAAAATATTAAAGATGATGTGATATTTAATAGGAAAGATAACAAAAAAATCTATTTAAATTATATAAATGACAAATTGATCTTACAAAATGATATAATTTTTTTACAGTTTTAAGGAATGTTTCTATCATTAAAAAATTATAAGAAATGACACTTTTACCTTTTATTCATATTAACAAAATTCACAACTTTTATTTATATATTGATAACTTTTTGTTTCTAAATTTGCAATAATTTAATAACTATTCACAAGTTATGATATGTATTAGGTATTGAAAATTTGTAACTTTTTATTCACAGCTTTTGTTCTTATACTAACAACTTTTATTTTTAAATTTGTAACAATTCAATAGTCATTCACAACACTGCATCTACAGATCTTGATATACATCAGGTGTTAAAAATTCATAACTTTTTATTTACAACTTTTGTCCCTATATTTGTCTCTAAATTTGCAATGATTCAATAGTTATTTGCAGCTCCGCATATATAGGTCTTGATATGTATTGAGTGTTAAAAATTTGTAACTTTTTATTCATAACTTTTATTTCTATATTAACAACTTTTATTTTTAAATTTACAACAATTTAACAATAATTTACAACTTCAAAAATTTTTGTTTTATTTGAGAAAAATTTAATTATTTTTTTTAATTCTCTAATGATAAAAAAATGTCATGAAACTTTGAAAAAATTATGCCTTTTTGTAAATTTATATAATTTAAATAAATTTTTCTATCATTTTTTTATTTAATATTCTGATTGTTTTTTGGATCAAAAGTAGCCTCCAGCTTCTCAAAATTAAACGCATGTGATGTATTTAAAGAAAATTTTTAAGAAATAAAAGGAGTGCACTTATAAAATAAATTTTATACACAATATTTTTTTTTTTTTTTGTGAGCTGTTGGGATAACAATTTGCGTAAATAAGTGAAAAAAGAATTAATAAAAAATAAAAAAGGGTCTGAGGGAGCAGACAAACCAATAGACAGGGAAATAAAAAATAAAAAATTGAGAAAAGGACAAATAGTTGCCATTGGGTTGAGGGTAGGCCATGCCCCAATTGCATGCCTCATTATTGGATGGAGGTTTTGCTGTTTTTTCATTTCTTTTTTTTGACCTGAGATGTTTTTTCGGATTTGATTTATACAGTTTAGATTTTGTCATATATACTTTTAAATTTTTTATATAAGCTATATAATACAGAATAAAAATAACCTTATTAACTTTAAACAACACGACAATATAATTTTATTTTAAAAGTAAAACTCACGTTCGGGTAATAAATAAATATATATATATATATATATATTGATTGATTGATAAGGTACATCTTACTATTTTCTTAATTTAAAAGTATATGTACTGCAGGGTTAAATTATTCTGCCTTCATGTTAACTGCTTAGGATTAAAAATTCGGCACATGATACAATAGAAATTAATTAATTTATTGTAGAAATAAAAAAAAACTAATGGTTTATTAATGCCTATAAATTACTAAGTATAAAAAGAGGTTATGTATGTAGAAGAATAATAAAACAATAATAACAATTACACGAATCTTGTCTCTTAAACAATCTTCAAATAGCCATTTAAAAATTTAAATATCTCTTGCTTGCAAACCAAACAAAGCTCATTAAGAAATAGCCATGCATCTAACCAAAATTATGATTAAGAGAAAGATCAAAGAAGAAGATGGGAGAAAGAAAAGTGTTGAATAAGTATTTTACCCTCTTGATCCCTCAAAGTTACGAAAAATGCGAAGACTCAAAAATCAACGTATCAAAGTTCACATGTTGCTTTCTATGTAACTATTGGATGTAATGCTTATGGAAATTACATCTTTAAACGCACTAAGTTCAACTCTAGGAAGTAAGATGCTATTATTGTTGAGACGTTTAGGAATCAAAATATTCAGACTCATTTGATATCACTGAATAGGTTTTAATAGAATTGAAATCAAAATTAAAATTAGAATCAAAATAAAATTAAATTTAAAAAATATGTTTGGTATGTCAAAAAAAATTAAATGAAATCCTTATATTATTTTTGTTTGGTATGTAAGACATGAAAATAGAATTATATTTAAAAGATAAAAATACCATTAAAAATTATAATCAAAATTAAAAAGTATTAAAAGCTTAACTATGATTTAATTTCTCATATACTATTTAATATACAAATAAAATATTATATAGATGATAGATATTAAAAATGAGTAAAATCTTTTATAAAAGAAATATTATAAATATATAAATTATATATAAACATATATATATATATATATATATTATAATTTATATATATTTGAGAGAATAAGGAATGAAAGCACAAGAGATGGGCATTTTGAATTGTCCCTGTTGCGACTGTCTACATGATCAATTATTTCAATATTAATCACAAATGAGTAAAGGTACAGTCGTCTTCTCAATTTTTATATGAGGATAAACTTGTCTTTAGAAAATACAATTTTATAAAATTGCTCTAATTCTATAGCTCCCACCAAAAAATTCAATTCAACCTTTTTTGCTTGACCCAAGATTCTTGAAAATTTAAATTT